GAGGTGTAGATGGAGAAGAGAAGGGGCCCGAGGACAGAGCCTTGAGGGACCCCAACAGAGAGGGGGAGTGAGAGGGAGGTGGGAGCATTATAGGTAACGCTGAAAGAGCCTTGTGACAGGTAGGATGAGAGCCAGGAGAGAGCAGAATCTCTGAGGCTGAGGGAGTGTAGTTTTTTTGAGGAGGAGGGGGTGGTCGAAGACCGCAGAAAGGTCAAGGAGTAGGAGCACTGAATAGTGGCCATTAGCTTTGGCGGTTAGCAGGTCGTTGGAGAGTTTGAGTAAGGCAGTTTCGGTGGAGTGTAGGGGACGGAAGACAGACTGTAGGGGATCGAGGAGGTTGTTGTTGTTGAGGTGAGAGCATAGGCGGGTGTAGACTAGGCGCTCGAGGAGTTTAGATGTAAATGGGAGCAGGGAGATAAGTCTGAGGTTGTTCGGGTCATTGGGGTCCAGGGAGGGCTTTTTAAGTATGGGGGTGATGTGTGCATGTTTCAGAGGGGAGGGGAAAGTGCCAGAGGAGAGGGAGAGATTGAAGATGTGGGTGAGGGAGCGTAGGATGGAGGGGGAGGGAGGTCGTAGGAGTTGTGAGGGGATAGGGTCGAGGGGGAAGGTGGTGAGGTGGGCATCAGAGAGGATCTTGGAGACTTCCTCGATGGTAGTAAGGTCAAAGGTGCGGAGTGTTGGGGGAGCTTCAGTATGAGGAGTGTAGGGTGGGGTGGAAGAGGAGGTCAGAGCAGTGGTGGGGGGCCGTGGGAGAGGAGTGATGAGGGGCTAGCTGAGTGAGGGGGAAGGGGGTTGGAGGGAGTTTGAGCAGCAACGAAGTCCCTGTGGGTTATGTCGAGGGGGAGGGGGGATGAGGGGGTAGCTGTGTGAGAGGGGATGGGTTGAGAGGGCGTGTGAGTTGCGGCGATGTCCTTGCGAATTGTGTCAATCTTGTTTTTGAAGTGATTGGCAATCTCAAGGGCAGTGAGTGAGGTGCTGGGTGGAGGTGGGGGTGGCAAGAGTAGAGAGTTGAAGGTGGAGAATCCTCGGCGAGGATTGGAGGAGAGGGCCTTGATGAGGGTCAGGAAGTAGGCTTGTTTGGCAGCGTGGAGGGAGGAGGTGTAGGTGTGGAAGGCAGATTTGTAGCGGGTGAAGGCTTGTTGGGATTTTGTTTTGCGCCATAGTCGCTCCAGGGCACGACTGTGTCGTTTGAGGGTTTTGGTGTGATCAGCCTGCCAGGGCTGGAGCGGTCGGGGTCTGATGTTGCGTGCGGTTAAAGGCGCTAGTGAGTCAAGGGCTGTTGAGAATGCGTTGTTGTGGGGCGGTCATAGCCAAGTCGGGGCAGGACAGGGGGAGGATGCTGTCGTGGAGTTGATCAGCTGCAGAGTGGAGGGGGGCAGGGTTAAGGTTGCGGAGGTTACGGCTGGTAGTAGTGTGACATTTGGAGGGGTAGGCGTTGAAGGACGAGGAGATAGAGAAGGTAATCAGGTTGTGGTCAGAGAGAGGGAAGGGGGTGTTAGTGAGGTTGTGGGGAGCGCAGCGGTTGGAGAAGACAAGATCAAGGATATTACCGTCAGAGTGGGTGGTGGATTGTATGCACTGTGCAAGTGCAAAGGAGGAGGTTAAGTGGAGGAGACAGGCTGTGTCCAGGTTGTCGAGGTTGACAGGGATGTTGAAATCCCCAAGGATGATGGTGGGTAGCTCAGAGGAGAGGAAGAACGGTAGCCAGGAGGAGAAGTCATCCAGGAAGCGGGGTATGGATCCAGGAGGCCGGTATATTACAGCAATCTTCAGGGGGGTTGGGGAGAATAGTCGGATGCAGTGGGCCTCGAAGGAGGAGAAGGATAGGGAGGGGGGGTTTGGGAGGACCCAAAGGTGCTCTGCGGTGACAGGAGCAGACCAACCCCACCACCTTTACGACCGTTGGGCCTGGGTGAGTGGGTCCAGGTGAGACCGCCGTAGGAGAGTGCAGCAGGGGAGGTAGAGTCAGTGGGCTGGATCCAGGTTTCCGTAATCGCCAGGAGGTTGAGGGAGCGGGAACAAAGAGATTGTGGATGGCGGTAAGCTTGTTGCACACCAATCGGGCGTTGAGGAGTGCACATGAAAACGGGGGGGGGGAGATTTTAGGGAGCAGGGGAACAGATACTAAGTTGCGGGGGTTGCGGCGGGACGTGGAGGCGGGAGGGTGTTGTGCGGGTGAGGGAGGTGGTGGAGGGCCAGGATTCAGGGAGATGTCCCCCGCGGTTATTAGGAGGAGAAGGGTGAGAAAGGTGGCATGGGAGCCGGATGTGCAGGAGCGTGAGAAACTACTAGTGGGAGGTGCTGGGGTCAGTGGGAGAGTGGAGTAACAGGAGGAGGTGGTGGGTGCCGTAGAGGGGCGAAGGAAGCAGTGAGAACACAATATACAATTGTTTGGGAGGAGCAGAGAGATATAGTGAATGGATTTTGGGAACGGAAGAGAGAAAAACGAGAAGGAGGAGTGGAAGATGCATTTTGGGGAGGTGATGAGAGCAATAGTAGGGAGAAGATAGCAATGAGGGGGAGATGTACAAGTTTTAGGGTGGAGCAGAGGGGTAAAGAAATGAGATTTGGGAACAGAGGATAGTAATAAGATAAGGAGAAGAGGGGGCGTATTATATAAAAGGTACACGGAGTGGGTCTCAGGCATGTAAGAGATGTTTCCCAGGGTGTTTGTTTGCAGTCTGTCCAGCTTGCAGTAGAGTTTCTTGCTATTGTTGTGTCTTCCTGCTGCTTGAGTTCTCCTGCTTAAGTTCAACTGCTGTGTTTAACTGCTTCGCACTCGTTCAAAGCCGCACTCAATCAGAAGCAGCGACTTGCCCCCCATCAGTGATCTCCCCCCCCATGAGCTGATCTAAATTTATAGGGAGATGCTCAAATGAGCATTCAACTCCGCCCCAATTAGAAGCTGATAAGGCTCACATGAATAGTGGGGGATGTTTCTTAGGAACCAGGCTACAGTCGTAAACCTGATTGCACCTAGAGGTGAGGACTGGTCAACATACACACAAATATAAATACACCATTTGTTCAGAATTTAGCAGGAGTCAATGCGTTTTTCTAGTTAAGAGCGGAGGTAGGAGATAGATGCAGTTACCCAGAGAAGAACAGCAGGAGTCAATGCGTTTTTCTAGTTAAGAGCGGAGGTAGGAGATAGATGCAGTTACCCAGAGAAGAACAGCAGGAGTCAATGCGTTTTTTCTAGTTAAGAGCGGAGGTAGGAGATAGATGCAGTTACCCAGAGAAGAACAGCAGGAGTCAATGCGTTTTTCTAGTTAAGAGCAGAGGTAGGAGATAGATGCAGTTACCCAGAGAAGAACATAATGAAATAGGGTGGGGCAATCTACATTTAGTAGCAAGAGACACACAGGTATTCAAACTTCAAACCAGCAGACAGTCCTATCAGGAGGGAGGGCTGCTGGAGACACCCCGCCACTAAGCTAATTCACACATTAAACAACAACAACCCCCCCACCTCCACCTATCTCCTAAACATCTATACACAGTCTGAGACAAAGCCTAACAGGAACAGGGTGATTTACACATAAGAGGGATATGGGGAGCTGAGACAGGGGTCTCCCCACCTCTCCAAAGTGAGCTGGGTTTCATGGGTCCCCCACCCAAAGTGACTCACAGTATGTGTCTATAATATGTGTGAGAAACAACTTGTTGAAACGTTTGTGAAAAGAAAAACAAATTTTATTTCATTTCTTCATTTTCCAAAAATTTATGCCAAAAAGTTACAACTTCAAAAAACTTACCATGCTTCATACTAAATACCTTGACATGCCTACTTTCCAAAAAAGGGTCCTTTCGTGGGTTTTTGTACTGTCCTCGCAGTTTAGGCCCTCTAGAAATCATGGTTGATATATTTTTACATTTATCTACCACGGTTTGTAGATGCCATAACTTTCACAGTCTAAATATTATACATTAATTCGTTTTTTTAGAGATGATATGTCGTAGAATACATTTTAACCTGAATATTTGAAGAAGAATTATTTATTTGCAACATTTTTTTACAGAAACTAGGCAAAACCTTTTTTTTTTTGTGTTTTTTTCCCTTTTATATATATATATATATATATATATATATATAAAAAAAAAAAAAATGAATGGTGATTTGCCACCCAGAGATCTGTTGGTCTGTGTCACAGTGCTGAAGCCTGGACAGGAAGGATGTTTAACATGCTGGTCTTCAAATGGTTCAAACTGCACCGGCCATGTGATGACGTCAGCACAGGCCTGCAGAGCCCGTACTGATATCATCACATCGTCCAGAGCAGCCGCAACAGAGGCATGCTAGATGCAGATGTGTTGATTTTTTGTGAGTGGTCTTTTAATTTGTGCTTCAGTAAACCTGGAGGTTTTATGCTATGAGATCTGTTTTTTTGCCGGATACACGGTGATCTAAGTACAGAAAAGGTGACTGTATGTATCTCACGTTGAAATGCCCTGTGTACTTCCCAATCTTTGTGATATGATTGCTTCAGCATTTCTCTGGTATCTGTGAGTCAATTAACACCTGCCTATAACTTGGGGGGCTTGATTATTGGTAAGAGGCAAAGTGTGACAATGATAATGGAACTCACCTGGAGGAGGGAACACATGCAGTTTTATTGACTTTTTTATGCACATCTTGGCTGATGAACCATATAGTAGACTTTATAGTTACATATTCATGATTTTTACACTTTGGGGTGAGTATAGTATATATATATATATATATATATATATATATATATGTACATCTGTGTGTGTTTCTTTTCAATGTACATTTGGTTTGTACATTTAAAGGGAAAGCAGTTACCAGTTTTAAAGGTTCAAACATTTAAAAAATGACAAAGTCCCCACAAAAAACAAGCAATTATGCTTCATAAATAATCTGTTTGCAAAATTAAATCCAAATTGTTACAAAAGTTAGGTTTTGTTAAATGAAATATATTTTACATTTTTCATAGCTAACAGAAAATGTTTTCTTTTCAACTGTATAGGCTGCAAACATGAACAAAGTTCGTCCTCGATATGCAGTTGACCGATTTACATACTCACTTGACATTTTCAATGAGGAATATGAAAAGAAGAATCGTTCTTACCCTGTTGGTGGGAAGGCCCGAAAACTGTTCAGGTAGTGTATACCTACATTATTTTATTTACTACATTATTGCTTATTAGGGAGTTGTTCAAAATAAGCAATTTACCGGTTCTTCCAATAAATTGCTGAGCAGCAAACCAGAGAGATCTGTCCTTTCTCAATTCTCCATTTTTCAGAAAACTAAATCTCTGTGTTTTTACTTAACACATTATTTATATAAAGGGGAAATAAGTGAAGTTTTAGTCCAGAGCATCACAGGAAGAATTCAACAATATTTATTAAGGATTTGTATTGAATTGAGTAGAACATTGTCTTCCTAAGGGTTTTATAATACATTATACCCCTAAAAGAAAGGTAGAGGTATAGCAAACTGGGAAAAAAAAGAAGGGACACAGCGCTTTAAGAGTATCTCTATATTCACATTAAATTCCACGTAAAATTGTGCACCCTTACATTCTAGTTTGGCTGCACTTGCACCAATGGTGCATCTTGGTATTCAAGCTGTTTGCAAAACAGTGGTCCCTCAGTCCTCGGAATATTGCTGGGTGAAACATCCATGGCGATTAGTGCTTGTAATCACAAAGGAATAATTGCTTGCAAAAGGTTTAGATGGACCAATGCACCCGCTTCAGGAGTATATTACAAACACTATGCAATTTAAAACCCCAACAAAAAAACACATTAATCTAAAACATATGGATCTCTGGAATTAATTCTAACATTGCCAAATAGCAAATATATGGGTTTTTTGAATAAATTTGCTTGCTAGCCACAAAAACCGCTTCCATCATACATTCGCACCCAGGGACTACATATCAAATTCAAATCAAATTACAATACCTCAATCACAAAAAGAGCTATACAGATATCTGTCATACACATTCTTGCCCCCAGGCCTCAACGTAACATATAAAAAAAACCCATCATGCTAAATTCACCCAAAAAATAGGAATTGGGCAAGCTCCTCAATCTTTTTCTTTGCCGAATCTACTATAATAAATATACAAATTGTAAAATTACACTGCTCAGTGACAAGAATAGTAGGTTGTATATAAGGAATTTGGAGCAACATATTGAATATATTTTTATGTAGAAAATATACAAACCAAATTCTATAAAATATAAGATCTAGACCAATATATCTCCAGTTAGTATGAATCCTATTTGCGTCAGTAGTATTAATTATTTTTAATAGTATTAATATTAACATTTATACAGGATCTCTATAGTAAATAAAATGCAACAGAGTTTGTCTCAATAAAATAATTATACTATTATATTCAAAACTAACCTATTGTCATAAAGGGAACAGGGAAGGACAGAGATGAGGATCTTGGAAAGCATAATCTCTTTCCTGTCCCTCTCAGGTGGGCTATAAGAGGATGCAGTGATTGTGGTTTGAAAATGTATACATTTAAAAAATAAATAAATAAATAAAATTGAGACAAAGCCATTATTGTTTCCCTTTAATTTGTATTTACCCGAGTTAACTATTTGCTTCATTTGCCAACAAGCTATATTCAAAAACAAAATATTGTAAAACCAAGCACGTAAATGTGCCTACACCACTCATCTCATATAAACAGACACTATATAAGATGTGCAAGTGAGAAAAAAAAATGTAGATGTTATTTAAATGTATGCTCTGTCTGTAAAGGAAACAAGGACAAAAGTCTCCAAACAAGTCTCTACTAGTGAATGGTGAAATAAAAGTAGGCAGAAGGAGTTACCTAATGTTAGAGTGCTAGAGAAAAAGTTAGGAGTTAGCAGTGGCTTGGTGGTTAAAGGATAAGTTCACCTTTGGAAACATGTTACCTGTTTTTAGGATGGGAACATGTGACATGTTCCCACAGCTGCAGCCACGTCCGCCCCCCCCCCCCCTCAGATATTACAGATAATACAGGGAGAAATCTCCCCCTACTGTCAAATTTTGCGTGGCTGTATGTTGCTCCACCCACACGGCCGCTTCATTCATTCATTCACACAGACTTTCCTGAATGCATGAACTGCAAGTCCCGACAGCCTTAGCGGCTGTGGGCTTAAAGTTTTCAATGAATTACCACGGCGCTGTGGAGCACCATTGTGGTTAATTGCAGCTTCTCTCAGAATACTTGCTTGCTCAAACATCCCGTACGGCATGCAGATATTCTGACAGGTCTGCAGGAGACCTGCATGGCATCAGCAATCTACTGATCGCTGGTACAATGCTTTACAGGCTCCTTTGGACAAAAAATAATAAATGCACATTTTGTTCCCTGCAAAAAATGTGCATTTATTATTTTTGTCTAAAAGGTGAACTTATTCTTTAACACTTCTACCTTGCAGCACTTATGCAATCATTTGAATCCTATTCCTGACCCTACCTTCATGGAATTTGTATGTTTTCCTTGTGCTTGTGTAGGTTTTTGCCCAAACTCCAAAGGCACATTTGTAAGTCAATTGGCTCTTGTCAAAATTTGACCTAGTATGCATTTGAAGCAGGGACTAGAGTTATCTCTAATCAATTCCCATATGTCCATTTATTGCTTCAGCTAGCTAGTCCATATACACCAAGAGGGACAGGACAACTTCCTGTTTTTGGTAACACAGAGTCCAATGCATGCCTCACCATCCTCTCTGTGTTGCATCACAAATGTTGGAAGTAAGGCATGTATTTTATTAAAAAGAAATTCATAGCAGTTCTTCCAATGAAAGTACAGTGCCTTCACTGTAAACATATTTCAGATATTTATTTGTAAAAGATTTTGAAAACCATATATCATTTTCCTTCCACTTCACAATTATGTGCCACTTTGTGTTGGTCTATCACATAAAATCCCAATAAAATACATTTACATTTTTGGTTGTAACATGACAAAATGTGGAAAATTTCAAGGGGTATGAGTACTTTTTCAAGGCATTGTACATTCATTTGTTCTGTGCAAATGAGGGAAAATATATTGGTAGGCCATTTCATGTACTACTCGAATGTTTTTAATTTGGAGTGGAAAATACCACATTTTGCTACTAGATGGAGATAATTATCATCTAGTGGTGAAATAGGATAGCCTTCATTTTAAAGTGGAGCTCGACCCAAAAGGGGAAGTTCCGCTTTAATGCTTTGTCCCCCGATCACCATTACGGATTGGCATCTTTGGGGAGCAGGTACCCGAATTTGACAGGTTCCCACTTCAGGTGCGATCACCTAAGGCGATTGGAAGCAGAAATTGTCCTCTCCCTTTCTCCCCTCCCTGACAGGTCAGGAGACTACGGGACCATTCACAAAGCGCAATGCTACTTGCGCATGCTCAGTGGACACCCAGCTGTGAAGCCACAAACTGTCACAGCCGGGTGCCCACACTCAAGATGCCGAGGAGAGCAAACAGCCGATGAAATCAGCCTTGGTGAGGACAACGCTAGACTGAGGGAAAGGTAAGTGTCTGTATTTTAAAAGTCAGCAGCTACAGTTTTTGTAGCTGCTGACTTTTATTTTTTATTTTAATTCAACTGGAACTCTGCTTTAAATCTATGAAAAACGCCCAACTAAAAAAAAAAGTAGCCTAATATCATGCTGTGTTGTTGCGTATACAGTATGTTAACAGTATGTATCTTTCCTTATTATTCACAATATTTTTTTTCTTTATTAATGCATGCCTGAGAAATAAAAAATAACCCCTGCTTAGAGTTACCATTTCTATTACCATTACTATACAGTAATTGCAACTATAAGTGATCAAAATTGCAGTAACTGAGTTCTGTATCAGTAATCTATGTTATCACATATGCATAAAAGAACCAATCTTTAATACTGTATATTCTCAACCCATCACTTTTTTGTAGCTGTTCTCCAGCCAAATTTAAATCTCTGATATTTGGCCTCTTTCCTATACTCACCTGGGTGCCCAAATATAATTTAAAGGAATATGCACTACCAGATGTTCTTGGTGGCCTGAGTGCTGGCACGATACAGGTACCACAAGGTTAGTAATACATCTATTGCATATTGATACAAATTCATTGACATCGGGGAAAAAAAAGATGTTGCCTTTTTTCTTTTTCTTTTTTTTTTATACAGGTATGGCTTTTGCTCTTCTTGCTAACCTTCCCCCAGTGAATGGCTTGTACTCTTCCTTTTTTCCTCTTGTGATTTATTTCTTCTTGGGAGGAATTCCACAGATGGTGCCAGGTATGATATTGCTGACATGGTATCACATATTTTAATTATCTATTTCATTGTGTTATATTATTCCTTTTTTTAAATTATTTTTTTCAAAGGTACCTTTGCTGTCATTAGCATTATCGTGGGAAATGTGTGCATGCAACTGGCTCCAGAATCAAATTTTCAGACATTAAACACAACTACCAATATAACTGTTACAGACACTGAAGCAATGAATGCTGCCCGGATGCAAGTTTCAGCCACACTGGCATGCTTAACAGCTGTTATACAGGTAAATGTGGCAGTAACCTGAAACTGAACAAATCTGCCAATGTTTGATTCACCAAAATTTCAGCAAATTCATTAAAAAATGGTTAAACTGTGAATTTTGACACTGCACAGGGACATTTCTGTAAAGAGAGTAATGTCACTAGGTCCCCTTGTGGTTGTCAGCAGGCAGTGGGCAGACTCTTTTGCCATTGGACAGCCTGCTATCAATCACAAGGAGAGAGTGCGCCTGATGGGGAACTGGTCCCTCAGCTTCAATATCAGACTCTGCCCACTGTCAGTGCAACTGGTTGCTAGGATCTTTTTGGCTGTGAAGCCGGTAGTGTTCTTAACAATCAGTGGTAGGTGGGGATGGGACCGGGTAGCAGAGACAAATATGTAGCTCTGCTAAGCAGTGTATAGAGACAGACACCCTTCCTGTACACCAGCTTACAACTGGTCTTAAATACCTCTAGTTTCCTCATCTTTGAACTGAAGGTAATTTATTTTTTTTAATTTAGTGCAGCCAAAGTATCAAATAGCACAAAAGCTTTATTGAATTCTCCTCAGTGAGTAAATGGGTACAACAATGTTACAACAGCATACAATGACCTCGTATTTTTAGCTGTGAAATTATTTACTTCCTTTTACAATTAGGTTGCCGTAGGCCTCACTGACATGGGGAGTACTAAAGCATACACCCATGGAGGGCCGAGATTAACTTCACTGGGATGCACAAGAGTTCCATGTACCCCTATGCAGGCAGTCTCATTCATGTCAGTTAAGATACAGGGGCTGTATGAACACTGCATGACACTGCTCCAAATCTGACATTCATGTGGGTGTAGGCTCACAGCCCCAAGTGCACTCTGTCTGCATTTGGGGCTGTGCACCCACACTGATGTCAGATTGCGAGCAGCATTTGTATCTGTGCAGCTGCTACATCCCAATTCACATCAATGGGACTGCCTGCACTGGTATGCACTTAAGACCTGAGCAACCCTATGCAGGTAAATAAGACTTTAGTATGCACTAGGTCAGGGGTCTGCAACCTTTAAGACATAAAGAGCCACTTGGACCCGTTTCCGAAGGGAAAAAAAAGACTGGGAGCCGCAAAACCATTGCAACATTTAAAACAAATCCGACACTGCATATATTGTTTCTTACCTTAATGCTATATACAGGATCGTGCAGTTAGCTGTCAATCTGAAGAAAAAAAGAACTTTTTCACTTAACAATGTAAAATATATTTTTGCACATTAATAGCTAATTAAAATATTTAATTTATCTGGTTAATGGGATTTTTTCTCCTGAACCTCAGTGCACAGTGTCTGCACATCAGGGCTGTAAGACGTCACCTTCATTTTCACACAGGCTTGCAAGCTGTCATCTGTGAGGCGTGATCAATGTTTGTTTTTTAATATAGTTCATGTTGGAGAAGACCTGCTCACATACATATGTGGAGCCGAAGATCGACAGCACTCCAAATGCATACTTTTTATTTTGAGAGCCACATTTTTTAAAACTAAAAATACATCCCTCATATAGTAATTCATCCCCCATATAGTAATTCATCCCCCATAGTAATTCATCCCCCATATAGTAATTCATCCCCCATAGTAATTCATCCCCCATATAGTAATTCATCCCCCATAGTAATTCATCCCCCATATAGTAATTCATTCCCCCATAGTAATTAATCCCCCATAGTAATTAATCCCCCATAGTAATTCATCCCCCATAGTAATTCATCCCCCATATAGTAATTCATCCCCCATAGTAATTCATCCCCCATATAGTAATTCATCTCCCATAGTAATTCATCCCCCATATAGTAATTCATCCCCCCTATAGTAATTCATCCCCCATATAGTAATTCATCCCCCATAGTAATTCATTCCCCATATAGTAATTCATCCCCCATATAGTAATTCATCCCCCATATAGTAATTCATCCCCCATAGTAATTCATCCCCCATATAGTAATTCATCCCCCATAGTAATTCATCCCCCATATAGTAATTCATCCCCCATAGTAATTATCCCCCATAGTAATTCATCCCCCATAGTAATTCATCCCCCATATAATATTTCATCCCCCATAGTAATTCATCCCCCATATAGTAATTCATCTCCCATAGTAATTCATCCCCCATATAGTAATTCATCCCCCCTATAGTAATTCATCCCCCATATAGTAATTCATCCCCCATAGTAATTCATTCCCCATATAGTAATTCATCCCCCATATAGTAATTCATCCCCCATATAGTAATTCATCCCCCATAGTAATTCATCCCCCATATAGTAATTCATCCCCCATAGAGTAATTCATCCCCCATATAGTAATTCATCCCCCATATAGTAATTCATCCCCCATATAGTAATTCATCCCCCCTATAGTAATTCATCCCCCATATAGTAATTCATCCCCCATAGTAATTCATCCCCCATAGTAATTCATCCCCCCTATAGTAATTCATCCCCCCTATAGTAATTCATTCCCCCCTGTGTCAATTCACTTACCTTTGCTACGCGCGTTCCTCTCGCCGTGTTCCCGCGCCGTTCCGGTCTTCAGGGCGGACTGTGAGAGGAGAGGAGTTTGTCACGCTGCCCCGCCTACATCCTGACAGCCAATGTTTGCCACGCTGAAACCCTATTGCCTGTCACCTGGTGGGCAGTGTGCTCCGGAGCCGCAGCAAAGATGAAAAAGAGCCGCATGCGGCTCTGGAGCCGCGGGTTGCTGACACCCGCACTAGGTGAATAAGGCCTTATGGAAACCATCAGCGCTTATGGAAACCATGAGCCTAATGGTAGTTTCCCACTGCCCTGTTGTGCTTTTCCTAAAGCGCAGCTAACCCATAGTTTTTATGAGGGTTAGCTGCGCTTTATTATAGACTTTCATGAGGAGCTGCAGTTTTGATGCAGTTTTAGAAAGCTCACCAAAACTCCTGAATGCTGCATCTTTGATTCACTTTTTGAAACCACACCAAAACTGCAGGACATCATAGAAGTCAATGGAAAAGCACAGCTAATCCACACGAAACCGGCAGGTTAGCTGCTGTTTGCCAAAAGCACAGCGGAATCGCATCGGGGCAGTGTGCCCTAAGGTTCAGTTTGAATACAATAGCTATTGAGCAATGAAATTTATTGCTAATATAGAAAGTAGTACTACCAATAGGGTATGTGAATAAAGCCGGTCATAGATTAATCAAATCTCAGCAGGTTCAGCAGGGATCGGCTGAGATTCAATCCATCTATGGGCAGGCTGGTTGTACTGAAGTCGATCCAGAACAGTAATATAAGTCTTAATGAAAAAGAACAGACAAGGGTGCACTCTCATCGTGCATTACCGTGGTAAAACACGTATTTATTGAAAAAAGAAGATATATACTCACAAACCAGCGTGATTAAAAGCAGTATATGTGGTCCACAAACACGGTCACAGTACATCTGTGTCTAATGATGCGTATGAGTTGACGCGTTTCGGGAGCTAAACCCCCTTCCTCAGAGCTAAAGAAAGATGCTCCTACTGGCCACAAGCCAAGGGGGTTTAGCTCCCGAAACGCGTCAGCTCATACGCATCATTAGACACAGATGTACTGTGACTGTGTTTGTGGACCACATATACTGCTTTTAATCACGCTGGTTTGTGAGCATATATCTTCTTTTTTCAATAAATACGTGTTTTACCACGGTAATGCACGATGAGAGTGCGCCCTTGTCTGTTCTTTTTCATTAGCGCTCAGATTTCCCGATCTTAGAAGGGCTGCACCTCTTCGGTTGGAATTTTGGCATCTTCTTGGTTGTATGAAGACTGGAGTGCTGGTTACGTTAGTAATATAAGTCTGTATATGCAGTAAGGGGTCAATCCTCTGCATTGTTGTTAAAAGGCTATTTGATCCTTTCTTCTCTGCCCCTCCTCTTGTTGAAATGACTACCTGATACAGACTGAATCTGTAGTCACATACGCATGCTCAGTTTGGTGTGTATTGCTAGAGATGTTTTTTTTTTTCTTTTTGGAGAGTGTGCAATATGATCAGCACAGGGCCAATCAGCACTGTCCAGACAGAGGTCAGGGGTTTCATATCCTCCTAGAGCAGAAAGAAAACTCCTACAAGCTTTAGCCAGTGCTCTGTTGAAGTCACAAGACTGCTCTAATTGCTGATGAGAAAAGTTAGCAGTTTATATATACTAAAAATAATTGCATTTCCATGTTCTGTGTACTGTGGGAGACCAGACATAGTGAATGCAGGGTCCTGGGTTTAGTAACACTTTAAGTGTTTGAACACAGGGAGGACAATGTAGCCCATCTCTGCAACCTACAGCTATACAGCTCCTAGAAACACTGACTTAGTGGTTTAGGTTTGCAATATGGCTACACTCTTTTGGTTTTTTTCCTTCAGATAACGTGATGAAAAAAACAAAAACAGATTCTCCCATCCAAACCAACAAGGAGGATGGAGGAATTGCCTCCCCGAACCAGGACATTGTATTCTGATAGGAGGCCCACTACTATCAGAATGCACTGATTGGCAGAGAATGGCCAGCTTTTACTGTGAGTCAACTCTTTAAAGTATAACTAAAGGCAAAACTTTTTTTTTTTTTAGTCTAATGGATTTAAAGGGATGGATTAGAACATGCCAAGAAAAACAAACATCATTCCATATCAATTATAATTGAGAAGTACGTTCAACAAAAAGGTATATTTTTTATGTTTTTTTTTTTGTCACTGACTTTTTGCATAGTAATTGTAAAGTATTTCCCCCAAAGGTTTAGATGGTCTGACCCTTTAGTGTAAAGAATACAAGCAATTTTCACTATCTTTTTATCTGCTTCTTTTTTTCAGATTGCCCTAGGCTTTGTTCAGTTTGGATTTGTTGCTATATATCTCTCTGAATCCTTTGTACGTGGTTTTATGACTGCTGCTGGCTTGCAGATTCTTCTTTCTGTGCTCAAGTATATATTTGGAGTCACCGTTCCACCATACAGTGGCCCTCTGGCCATTATATATGTAAGTCAGCCTTTAACACTTTCTTGCCTAGGGGTCATTGAAAACTGGATACCCAGGTCAAATTAAGAAGTGTCAATATGCTTTGGTAGCTTGGCAATAACTCTGACTAATGTTCCAAAGCAGTTTACATTTTAACAGACATATAATGTTTATGATTTGGTGTGTTAATTTAAAAAAAACCCCACTGCTTTGTTTTTATTATAGGGTGATAAATAGACAACAATGTAAAAAAGTTATAATAATTCAAATAATATTTGAATACTGTCTTTGATACTGCAATTGTATTTAACAATTACAATATTAAACAAAGACACATTTCCCTAATGATGCACCCAACCTGCATGTGATCTCAATCCCATTTGTTAGTGGGGCATCTAGATATCAGTGGCAGCCAAATCACAATTTGAAGCTACACAAAATGTTGAGTACAAGCTGTCACAAGGGGAATGTAGATGAACATACCCTGAGCAGGAGACACTGTGCAGGGGAAAGGTAATCTACAGCGGTATTTTAATTTGTTTTTTTTTTTCTCCTGCAGACATTTATAGACATCTGTAAAAAACTGGGACAAACCAATGTGGCATCTTTAGTGTTTGCTTTGGTCAGCATAGTGCTGCTAATCACTGTGAAGGAGTTGAATCTCAAATATATGCATAAAATCCATTTTCCCATCCCCATGGAGATTATCATCGTAAGTGTCATTCATTTGTTTTGTTTATAAAACTCAATCACCTGCACATTCACTGGATCAAGCAAAATACTGACATTCATCAACATCTGTACTTACTGTACTATTTGGCTTACTTTTAAAACCGTGAATGCAACATTTCTTCCACATTCACAGATAACCTTTACCTCAGACATTCAATGTTGTGAATTTTAAAACATGTTTTAAAGGTCCATGAGTACAGGATCCAAGGATGATTAGCCATTTAGTATGCGGCAGTCATGTCTTCCATGCATCCTATAGTTGCTACACAAAATACTTTTAAGTTCTTTATAATAGTGATAAAAAGATACTGTATGTAAAGATCTGGATAAATTGCTAGGTTGCCAAAAAAAAAAATCAAAACAGGTTAACTACAATTCTAATTGTTATATACATTTTTTTCGTAATCAGAAAAAACATTGAAAAACTAATTAGTAAATGAGTTATATCAACTCATAAAAGTATACTTGTATTTTTCCATACTGCACCGCCCTGTACATCACATCAGCACTGTGGTGTGAATTAGGCACGTAAAAAAAACTTTATGTGCCCTTTTTGTGACTGGCATTTTTTTCTAGTACAGAAAAACTCTAATCACCTCACATAGCGTGAACAAGCCCTCAATGAACACTTACTCCAACATTACATTTTAGACTGTAAGCCCTCATGAGCAGGACCCCCCTAACCTCCTTGTCTTGCATTGTCTCCTTTTATTTTGTAAAGCTCTGTACAAACTGTTGCCTCTATATATTCTGTATAATATAAATAATAATAATAATTAGAGTGGTTCTAAAGGCAGACTTTAATTTATTCTCTGCATTTAAAGCGTAGTTCCACTCAAAAGCGGAAGCTTCGCTTATTTGCCTCCTAACCCCCTCCACTGCCATATTTGGCACCTTTTGGGGGGGTACCTGGTTTTGACAGGAAGCCGCAAGCTGTCACAGCCAGGTGCCCACAGTTGAGATGCCAATACAATACCGTGGAGGAGAGAAGGGGAGAAGGGATGGCACGGGTGAGAAAAATCGCTGGACTCTGGGACAGGTAAGTGTGTGTTTATTAAAAGTCAGCACCTACAGTTTTTGTAGCTGCTGACTTTTAATAAACACAAAAACTTCTGGTCTGGAACTCTCCTTTAAGGTAAAAAAAAACTTTTTGTCTCACGGACACACAGAGCCAAATCGAGGGCTAGCATGTTCGAGTGCCCCATAGCAAGCATCTTGCTATGGTGGGCACTTGGTGGGGGGGGGGGGGGGTCCAGGAGCAGGAGACTAGAGAAATGGAGGATCAGGGCTGCTCTGTGCAAAACCATTGCACAGAGCAGTTAAGTATGGCATGTTAGTTATTTTTTTTTAAAAAAGTATTCTTTACAATTACTTTAAGACATTGCTGCAGATTCATAGGTTTGAGCATCCACTGACATCACATTCATTGCATTTTAAATATTTTAATTGATGCTGATGAATATATAGTAAATGTAAATGAATCCATTACGATGAATGTGACTAGATGCCTCAGAATTTCATAAATATGCTTGCAAATTTTAATTTGTTGTTCTAACTCAATACAGCATTTATTATTTTTTTTAATTTTACTTTTACGTCTTAAATAAAATTATATATATGTTTATAGGTCATTATTGCTACAGCCATCTCTGGTAGTTTTAACCTTCCTGAAAAGTATCACATGGATATTGTGGGACAGATCCCTCTAGGGTATGTATTTAAAATGAGCATTGGTAAAGCATTACAAAACAATCAGGGACAGCTATATACTTCCTACCCTTCACACTGAGCATTCTGTCTTGTTTAAAAACAAAATTGTGAGCTGTACTTAAACCGTCTTTCAAAACTTTACATTATTTACAGAATTAAATTGATAACTGCATTGTGTTAATTCATCAAAAATATCAGAATTCATATTAATCATCAAACCACAAAAAAATGGGTGAATAATATAAAGTGCAATGTGCCAAGAATGTACATAAAATTAGCACAAATTTATGCAATTTATAAAGTGTTTGAAGTGCAAATACATTTCAGCGCAAAAAATTAATCTACTGAAATGTTTTTGCACTGGACTGTTTTTTTTTTTTTGCAATTTTTTTAAAGATGGCAATACAATCAAAAAATGCAAACAAGGAGCTAACTAAAAATGGTACTACTACTAACCCATCTTTAGTAAAGCCGACTATGGTTTAAAACCTTCACAGAAAGAGAAAAGGATCAAACGTTAGTCATTCACAAGTCTTGTTAACCTGCCCAGCTACGGAAAAAGTTCCTGTCTGTTTTCAGCGTCTTCCACAAAGAAAGACGGTGAGGGACTCTATAAATCTGTGACAGACTTTTGATAAGCTTATATATTCTATAGTTCTCTTTCTATTAAAAATGTATTTGTCGCAAACCTGGACCTTTTAAACCGTACATGATGAACAATTGCATAAGTAAAGATACCTTCAGTCAAATGAAATATCACATATAATCGCTACAGACAAGGATATGGGCAACTGAAATTACATGCAATCTCAGCCCCTTACTCCTCCTATACCTATCCTGGTCAATGAGGCTCTTTTTCATAGGAATAGGACCAACAGGAAAACTCAAAAGGTGGGGTACTGATTGGTCCAACAACAGTACCCGTCTGCATTGCTTCAGATTTACCAATCCCTGACTGCTGCACAATTAAGGTATTAAAGATACAAATGTTGAGGATTCATTAGGTACCTTCTTCAGGCTTCAATTCTGAAAATGATTTTAAAACCTCCATATTTATATACAGAGTTACAAAGAGAAGCAATCAAGTACAACCATTTCTTTCTTAAAACACTTGAGTAGAAACAGCTGTTGTAGAGGATTAGACTATATTATAAAAAAAAAATGTAACAATTTAACAAAGATGAAACTGCAATCATCTCAGAGAGATAGCTAGGCCATCCACAGAAGTTAACACCTCAACAGGAGTGTCTTCTGATGAGAAGGGTTGAAGAAAATCACCATGCAAGTACAATGCAATTAGCTAAAGAAGTGTACACAATACAGTGTACACTGCAGAGGAATGGCATGCATGGGTGTCATCCATGAAGGAAGCCTCTCCTACAGCCCATGCACAAAAATATTTGTTAAATTAAATAATAATGGTTAATAAAAACAGAAATAAACAAAAAAAAAATCAGCAGGAAAATAATAGTTGAATGGAGACAGGGAAGAATAAGTTAATTTGGGCTAGGTAACCAAGGGTTAATAAGGATTAAACACATTTTATTAAACAAAAAACAATATATATTTTTACCTTATCAAGTTGCTTTAACAGACAGCATCTTCAAACCATCCCTTTGATCTGCAGTTGAATGAAACAGTGTAGATACAGAAGTAACATCTCTCTATTTTGCTTCTGATATTGATGTTGATAAATACTGAGTCAGACGGTTCTTTTTTTTTTTTTTTTTTTTTTTTTACAGTAACAGTCGCCAGAGCTGCTATATTTGCACAGCAGCTTTCTGGCTTCATTTTGAGACCTGAGTTTCAAGTTTTGTGTTAGGGGCACAGCAGATATTAGAGGGACTGGAGGTGCTAAATACATCCTGCATACTTTGATAACTTTTTTGGGGTGTGTGTAAAATGAGTCCTCAGCTAATTAAAGGCCTCAACTACTGCAACTATTTAAAGGCCCCTTACAAGAGTGTCATTGAAAGGTTTGCTGTTTTCCCATGTTGCTCTCAAAATCACTTTAACCACTTGCAACTGGGTACTTTTAATCTCTTCCTGCCCAGGCCAATTTTCAGCTTTCCAGTGCTGGCACACTTTGAATGAGAATTGCTCGGTCATGCAACACTGTAAAAAAACAAAATTTTTATCATTTTTTGGGGACATATAGAGCTTTCTTTTGGTGGTATTTAATCACCACTGGGATTTTTATTGTTTGCTAAACAAACTAAAAAATACTGAAATTTAAAAAAAAAAATTCTTAGTTTCTGTTTTAAAATTTTGGAAAAAAAGTAATTTTTCTCCTTCACTGATGTGCGCTAATGAAGCTGCAGTGATGGGCACTGATAGGTGGCACTGATGAGGAGGCAATGATAGGCATCACTGATGGACAGTGAAAGGCAGCACTCATATATGGCACTGATAAGTGGCACTGACTGGCACTGATAGGAGACACTGATTGAAACTGTTAGGCGGCACTGATTGGAACTGTTAGGTGGCACTGACTGGCACTGATAGGCAGCACTGATAGGCAGCACTGAAAGGCAACTCTGATGGGCACTCATATGTGGCATTGATGTGCACTGGCTGACACAGATATGTGGCATTGATGTGCACTGGTTGACACTGATATGTGGCATTGATGTGCAATTACAGGTGGCATTGATGGACACTGACAGGTGGCACTGATGGGGCTACACTGATCACCAGTGCTATGATGATCAGTGTAGATGTCCCCTCTGAGGAATACTGATTACCGGATCTCCTCTCCTCACGTGCTGTCAGCGTGAAGAGACATCTGCTGATAACCTGCATTTCTAATTTAAATGTGATCAGCTCTGATCACAGCTGATCACATGACAGAGCCGACATCATCATCTCTTTACTCTGATCAGTGATCCGCTGTGTCCCAGGGACACAGTGCACCACCGATCACACCCCCAGGGGCTTGCATGCACAGTTAAAATGGGAGGACATCATATGACGTCCTCCCAGAATGAGAGAACCGCCTTTAGGAGGCAATTAAAGGGAGGACCCACTCCCTTACATACAGTATATTTATTTATTTATTTTTATTACATTGGTAAATGTCTTCATGCCATATTTTGACAATACCTTGCCTATTAGCCTTAAAAATGTTCAGATTGATTATATAAATTTAGCCCCCTATAGACTTCAATGGGATTCAATTTAAAATTTGGAATTTTAATAGTTTAGGAAAGATTTGAAGAACGTCTCATGAACAGAATCAAGCATATTCACTCATACTTATTGTTGGGGTAATTAATTAGGAGATTAGAAGTCCACGCACATTTTCATCTTAGTGTGACTTGGTGAGAATGAGAATCAAAGGATTTAAGGAAATGTTGTTAAAGGTCAAAATTTCAGTTGAAATCAAAGTGGTATATAAAATGTGTCTCCCTATTTAGACTACAATTGAGTTTTGAGTATTTCTATGAATTTGCCTACCTTTCTTTCCATGATATGACCACCTCCAGTGGTACCATAGTCCTAAAATCAGTCACTACATCTGAGGACATGTAATCACTGCAAAAGCAGATAGCTTTGGTGGGGCAGAAAGATGGAAATGTGTAAGCATTCCAGATGTCTATTGAGGCCATAAAATCAACCAGAAGGACAAAGGCAATGATCCATCTAGCAGTTTTCATATGGAACTTTTGAACCCATAAGAACAAATTGAGATTCTTCAGATTCAGAATGGGTCAGGCACTTCAGGTCAGTTTGGGAACTTTAAAAAGGTTTGAGCGAAAACCTTGAAACCTTTCTAATGTTAGCACAGGGTTAATGACCCATTGAGTCAAGAGCTGATGAACAGCAGCAAGAAGATCAACCCGCCATGACAGGGAAGAGGACAAATTTGTAAGTGTGAGTTGGAGAGGAGGCAGAGAGCGAAAGTCCAGTTTGTAGTCCCTGGAAATTACACTTTGGACACAAGCATCAAAGATTTTCTGGAAGAAGAAGGCAAAGAAATCCAACAGATTCCCCTTCCCTAGTCTTAGAAGTAGGGGTGCCCCCATAACTAGGAAGAGGCCCTGGAACCAGTCTTGTCTGGTTTGGTGGGTCAAGTTGAAAGTAACTTCCAGTTCTTACTTACGTAAGTCAGTTTCAGGCTTGGACTTGACATTGGAAGACTGAGAGTGACGAAAAGAATCATTCCTATTTTCAGGAGTAGAAGTCCTACTGGTAGAGGTGTGAGCCTTCTTTTTCTGACGGAGAAGAGTACTCTTACCCTCTGTGATCTTCTTGATGTACTGTACATATCCAAAAGAAACCAAACAGGCTTCAAAGGGTAACCGCTCCACCCTTCAAAGGGTAACTGCTTGTATGAGACCCAAGTTGACCAGCATTTAAGCCAAAGGGTCCTGCACATCTGGATGATTTGTCAAAGTATGTCCACCAAGCTATTCACTCAATAGTGTAAGGCCATAAATGAAAAGTCTAACTTGGGGGAGGAGCTAGATTCCGGCATGTGTACAGCAGGATGATAGAGCTCCAGCCGGGACAAATAATTATACAGTCATCCTGCGGATCTATGGCATCTGATTTTGTCATAAATCGGTACACCAAGAGGAGCTGAAAAGACTATCCGGACCATCATGGTAAAGATCAGCCAGGCAGCAGGGAAATCCTCTGCAGAGCGCTTAGCTAAAGTTTGCTTGGGGCTTGCAAGACGGCGGAGGCGGCAGTAACAGGAGCCAGGAGCCACGTGGAGAAGAGCTGCGGCACCGGAAGGTCCCGGTCTCTTCAGCTGGATCTGCGGCAGTAAGCCCTCTGCCCCAAAGAGATCATAACCTAAAAAGGGGACATTCTCTGGATAGGTTGTCTCAGCCTGCTTATAGTAGTGAGCAACAGGAGGAAAGTGATGCGGAGCCCTCTTTGAAACAAATCATGGTGGCCATTCAGCTCTGTCAGTCCACTCTCACTGAGCACATTGATGGTAGTAGAGTGGAGTTATCTTTTCTAAAACAGGACAACAGGACGTGTAGTCTGTT